CCAGTTTCTCCCCTTCTTCATTCATGACAGCTTCACCCCCGAAATCATCTCTTCCTTCTCTGAAATGCGATAGTATTCTTCATTGACTGGCCTTTTAGTCTTGAAACACAGACATCAGAGAGTTTGCTGACACGCCCATTTGAAGAACAGAAAGCTTCTAAGTGTGTCCCCCTAGTATTTGTGAATTGAATGGGGTGTTCGGCAACACAGAGATCCGCATTCCAATCATCGCTTACTGAACTATTTCCCACTTACTGCGTATACAATCCTAAGCTTCGCGGGCCTCACGTTCCCTGTAGGAGATCAGGGTGACACCAGCGCTTACCTCCGTGTCACTGCGAGGATGGGAGGGCACACGTGCACACCCGGCCAGGTGCTCTGCGTTCAGTCCATGTTAACCATCGCCACTGTCAGGGCTCACTAGGAATTACCAGAACCTGAATATCAACCAACTTGTCTTTTCCTGTTTTCTTTATCAGAATTTCCCCTCGATCTCTGCTAGAGGTACCTTTTCTTCTTCCCAGTAAGCAGACAGGTGATGTAACTTTATGCAACAGATTATTTCAAGAAAAACTGAGATTCTTTATTCTTGTGAAAAAAAAAAATATATATATATATCACCTGAAGGATGGTAAAAGTGTAAAATTACCCAGCAGTATGGACCGGGGGGTTCTTTGGACTAGTCCTTACCTCTGTTGTTTCCCTCACCGGTGTCCTTGTTAATACGGATGTGCTTTTGTGCCAAAGGAAGTGACATGGTGTTGAAAGTCCTGTCTAGGCTGTTCATGTAGAGGGATCGCTCCGTAATGTACTACGCCCCTGTGTATGCTTATTGAAAACCTGGACGGTGTGTGCCGGCACGCAGGCCGGCGAGTGGAGACACCGCGCTCAGGTATTCAGGGTCTTCCCCTCCCTCTCTGCCGGGTGATGTGAAGGTTTCGTCAGACTTATTTGCAGTAGTGAGATATCGCTCCCACACACTGATCGTAACCACCTTGATCTGTACTAGGTCGGCTAAGCTTTGGGCGTTTTCTAGTTTACGATAGTAATAGGAGTGTTAACTAAACCATTTGTAGGACCGAGATCAAAGTCCCGCGGACACAGCGTCGTTCTGTTGAGACAGTGAGGGACCTGGCCTGGTGTAGTAATGATTAAGGAGTTGCATGTTTTGTGTAGCTCCACAGTTCAGTGTATCTCATGGGTTCTACTTCTCACCAAGGACAATCAGTCCATGATAAGGTTTTATTACTTGCGTGCTGCAGGGCAAGAAGAGTTTGCCTTAGGGCAGGACCACACCACTTGAGATTAATATAGAGAGACAAGGACTAGAAGAGTGCTCAAGGCCGGAAGGACGTCAGGATGTTAGAGTAGCGAGAACAGGGACCTCCCGAGGAAACATCCACGGACCAGCATGCAGTGTCTAACCTGTTTGCCTTTTAATATAGCCGTTTCTTAAACTTCTATTTAATGACACTATATATTATCTCCACTTTCTAGACTAAATCAAACTCTGAAGCCAGCGTAAGTGGTTTTTAGGCTTAAAGAAAATGAGATCGGTTTCAGAAATGTGTGTGTGTGGTGTGGCGTGGTGGCCCTAATGTCCAGTCGTGGTGACACCCTGCATCCACGGAGACTACATTTACCGTCTGAAGACTCAGACGGCAGTCCAGTGACCTCGGGTGTCGGGAGACACGCCTTTTACCAGTTACGAATGAGTCATGGAAAGCTCATGCTGAGAGGTCATGGTTATTCTTTTCAAGCTCGTCAGTTTCATAAAACTAAGCAGTGTTTTAAACCACACCTTTACAAACCAGGACAATGAAGGATCTGGTGAAGAACGGATCTGGAATTTGAATAGAAGTGAAGGGGAAGATTGGCGACCAGAATAAGGAAGAGCAGGACCCAAGCTCTGAGCGAGGGTAGGGCCACTGCAGATCTGAAAGAAACCGCTACGATGCTACACCATCCTTTCTTCCCAGAAAATAAGAAGAACCTCACTTGTGTCCCCTGTGGAGTTCCTTTACCAGAAGAGCCTCCCCGAGTGTCAGCTGCACCTCATAAATGCCCTTGTCACCCAGCCCTCTCCAAAGGTCAGCGAATGTCCCCTCTGTTCAGCTGAATAATCGGAACATTATTTTTTATGGAGAGGAATTTTTAAAATACCAAAATGAAACTCCTTTTGCTATTTCCTTAATTCAGAATAATTTCATGGCACAGACTGGAAATCATGTGTAAAGAAGACCAGCCGGCCACTAAATCCAGGCTGAGAGCCGGCCTTTCCTGTTCACAGAGAGCAGGAGAGCCAGACTTGAAAGGTGGCAGAGAAGGGAGCAGGTGGGAGAAAGAAGCTACGTGCAGGAAAGCAGCCCGAACCCTGAGCTAAATGACGCTTGGGCGTCGCCTCGACACTGAGTATCTTGAACCACATGCAGACAAGTGGAGTGCTGTCTGGGGAGGTGTCCTCGCAGCAGTCCATCAGCACACAGATATCACCAGACCCACAAACGGTGGGAAAAAGTATTCTCTCGTTAGACTTCCACCTCTCATGTGAGCAACTTCTTTGCAAAACACCTTTGTTCTGGGCAACCACGTAGACCAAGAGCCGGCCATATGTAGAGGACTTTAAAGGGTGACTTCCGTCCAAGGGCAGCTGAGTATTTTTCGTGGCTTAGGCACCAATAAGGGCTTAAATTTCTGTTAGGAAAGAACAGCATGTGACCGGGGGCAGGGCTGAGGAGGGGTGACATTACCGAAGTTCCCAGCAGCGTCTCAACTTCTGCGGGGCTAAGGGAAGCAGTCTGCCCCTGGTAGGACAAGAGCTGCCCGAGTGCCTCCTGGCAGCTGAGCTTCCTTTGTGTATCGTGTGCATGATTTAGAAGAGGCTGTGTCAGCACTGATTTATACATCGACAGCTAAGGATGATAAGATACGGGCAAACATACAGCTCCCCCTTTTACAGATTAACCTGGAGACTGCATTAGGCAAATTCGAGAGCATTAAAAGATTTTGCCAATTTGTCTGGAAACAATTTCTCTTTTGTTGAGTGTCAAGGCTAACACTTCATGCCATCGGACTAATTTAAATGGCTTTGATAAATTGGACGAGAGGTTAGAGAATAGCAGTGTAGATATATATTTAGCACTTTAAAATAAAAAGGCTATTAACTTAATTGTTAAATGAATTTAATCTGTAAAAATCAAAGCGCTCAGGAACGGAACACGGAAGGGTTTTCTTGGAACCGCGACAGCCGTGTCACATCCCAAGGCTTTAAAAGTCTTCTTAGAAAATAAAAACGAAACTTTTGCGTTGCTTCCTAGTAAGTAGATGTGCTTTAGGCTACCTCAGCAGCAGGGACAGCAGGCAGTATTCGGGGAAGCCTTGCTTTACAAAAGCAGTAAAATCGCATCCTCTCCACGCATCCTGTTTGCATGACTCCGAGGAAGTCCTTGGTATGATGGTGTCCCGAGAGCCCTTCCTAAAAATGAGATGTGTACTTCAAGAGCCATTGTCATGTACATCATTTCTGAAGTGAGGAATTTGAAGAGGTCCCTCCGAAAGTCACCAGACTCAGTCGTGGCACTAGCCGGTGGTCTAGGGCAGAAACGGCTCTCGGACAGGAGTGTTTAGAAAGTTCTGCGAGAACAGACTTGGATGTGAAGCCCGAGCTGGACACAAGAACTAGCCTCAGTTGGATTGCGATGATAGTCTTACTCCTTACCCTGCCCGTCCTCCCTCGGCCCCCGCCATTCCCTTCCCATCTTCACGGGGATAACCTCTCTTACCATTCTTGCTTCTGAGTTTAAACTTCTGCTGGTTTGGAGAAGAGGCTAGTTCAGACAGGATTTAATACTTGCTTCTTCCCCTCAACCAAGCGTGTTCCTCAATATGAAAACAGAAATTTTCACGACAAAAACAAACATCAGGAAAAAAGAAACTTAATCAAGTTTGTACCATCTTTTTCTTGTATTCCTCTGTGAATTTTAACAGATGAGTGCTCAATCTACAGGACAATATGTATTTGTTTGAATTATGTGTTACTGAGATTTTGGAAAAGTCATGACATATTTTTTTCTATGTTTTCCTTTGCAAAAATGCATCATGATGTTTTCCGACGACCCAATATTTATAGTGAACCAATACAAAAAAACTTTTGTATAAAAAGTTTTATTAAAAAACTTTACTATAGAAGCGTGCACTGTTTAAACTACAGACCCATAGTATATGTTTCTTAGAATTGTGGCCAAAATGTGCATCTTTGAAAAAAGCAAAATTCTTGTTAATCTCTTAATCCTTTAAAACTTACTTTCTGAAGAGTAGTGTAATTCTGGAAGTTCCTTAACTCACAAGTGTGCTATGTGTCCAGTAAGTAAAATTTGCACATAGTGATAAAGGATGCAAGTTGTGAGAATAATAAAGCCTACTACAGAGCAACTGCTGGCTTTCTGGGGTGCATTCTCGGTTGGCAATAGCAGGGAGATGTACGGAATGTCATTTCTCTTTCCCGAAGGAAAACTGCTTTTGAGAGAAGGAAACCTAAGAGTCGTCTTGCTCTCTCTGGCCAAGGATAGTGGAATTAACATGCAGCTGGGCTTCTCTGATAAATGGATTCCGTCAGGTCACTGAGGGGGTGCATGTGACATTAAGTGATCTACAGTCCTTTACCTTAATGAAATTGTTTCAGCACGATGACGCTGAAAGCTCTTGATGGATGGCTTTTCCTGATGTAATGAAATTGCATTCCTATGGCATTTAATATAAGGTGCAGCTATTATTTACTTGAGCTTTCCGAGGGCGCTATTTGCACAGACAGTTCAGAACAAAAAGGGATTTCAGCGGTGACACCAGGCCGCAGTGGCTTGTGACATTCCTAAGCAAATGTGTGTGTTGTGAGGGCATTTCAGTTACTGTGGCCAGGGCTTCCCAGACCCTTCGGAAGACTTCCTGTCGCCTCCCCTGCTTCCGTTCACCCTTTCACGTGTATTCTCTGATCTGTGGAACAGGCAGCTGGATTACAACCGGATCAGCTGCATTGAGGACGGGGCATTCAGGGCTCTCCGGGACCTGGAAGTGCTGTAAGTACCGCTTCCTCCTCTTCATGCGAAAGCTCACCCATCTCATCTGTGTGTTTAGGTAACTGTGTATTTAAGAGGGTGTTCGGAGTTCTCCTTCTAATTAAATATGCTCAAAGGAGTCCACAGATCTGTGAGAATTCCCAGAACTGCTAAACACTGAGCTAAAATAACTTGGTTAGGGACAAACAATACCATCAAAAAATAAATCTCTTTATTATCCGATGGAAAAAATTTTTCTCATTTAAAAATGTGATTTTCAACCAGCTAATGTTATCTTTGTAAGTTCACTTTGAAACTGACTTTTGAATTTAAATGAACGCCCCATTAGGTCCATTTCAAACGTTGAATAGAACAGACTGATTAGAATCGCCATCCCCTCTTTCCTTGCCATGGTATAGACATGGCTGATGAAATTGGTCAGAGGCAACTAAATAATTCCTGTTGGCCTTTGATTAGTGAAATAATTTTAGTGAGATTTAATTTTAACGAAAAGTGTTTTTAATGAAAATGATCGTTACTAAAGCACTTTACAGCACCCATATGTTTCTGAACATTTTTCAGTCAAAAATTTATGTTTCTAGCTTTTTAAATAGACTTACACATTTCCTTCCTCAATAAAAATATTTTTCTTTGTTTTATTTCATCCTTGACACAATTTAGCCAGAAATCCAAAATTAGGTGAAGGTGAAGAAATTCTGAATTTTTAGTCTACTCGTTAAAAGTTTTCTAGAAATCAACAATTGTTTTGTGAGGGGGAAACCAGCATATAGCTTTATAAATTAAACTTCAGGAACAAAATGTAGTCGTGAAAAAAATTTAATCTTTCAAGTAGAATGGCTTATTTTAGCAATGCTTTCTACACAATTTTGGTTTCGCTTGTAAGTTAATCAAATTTCTAGTTGTGTTATGCGTTGTATTCTTTTAAAGAATTACGTGAAAATCAGTTGATTAAAAAAATTGTAAAATTAGCAAAACATACTATTTGGTACATGAAAGGTCATCTTTGCTTCTATTAATAACCGTTTAACCATTTTTGGAGGGGGAAAATCATTCAAAATACATATTATATGCATTTTAGTTCTAAGGCCATTTTAAAAATTATTTCCCAGAGCCATTTTTAGTGTTCAAAGCTTAGCGATGCCAATTCAGGGTCAGAATAACGAGGATACGACTCTGGCTTCATGGGAGCGGGTTGATGGTAGGACCAGACTTGGTCCATGTCACGGAACTTCATATATGAAGAGACCACTGCAGGGTTAGGAGATTGGAGAGGTCCAGTCAAGCCGAACCATAGGTGGGTGAGTCAACCAAGTCAGTGATTCGAATTAGAGATACGAATGACACCAATAATTCTATGAAACATTTTCTAAATAGTTCGGATCAATTAAATTCCATAAAGTACTGTTATTAAGTTAAAAAAATTGCATTCTTATTAGTTATGGAATCATCAAACTTATCCTGTAGATGTACGTGTGTTTTTAAAATACACAGAGAGAGAGAGAGAAAGAGAGAGAGAGAACCAAGCACTGTGTTGGGTACTGAAACTTTGGAGTCCCGAACACCATGACTATGTATTTTCTATAAACTGATATCCTTGCTTTTAGAAGCAATAAGTTTGCAAAAACACGAAGACCATGTACATTTTGTGTCATGTCAGCAAAGCATCTGAAAGACGGCTTTAGCCAGGACTGTTATCATGAAATAACCAAAGAGTGCTCACTACTGTTTTGCCCTAATGGAAATGCCAAATGTTGGGAACTCTTCTGAGACCTCAATATCTATGTCTCAAAGAAATGCACAGTGGTCAGAGCTTGCTGACCAAAAGAAAATCATGAAAATTAGCACACGATGCAAAAAAAGGTGAATGTCTTTCAATACATTTCAGTGCTTTTATTACAGTTTTATAGGGTTAAGCTCGCATTATTTTAATATATGTTCATTCTTTTAAAACATCATCAGACTTTAGACAGGCTTAAAAAAAGTCTTCGACGAAGAGTTTAAGGCAAAATTGGATAAAGCACTGAACAGACTGGGATTTATTGAGCCCAAGCCTCTTGTCAAGTAAATTAAAAGTTTGCCATTATAAACATTTGGCCAAGTGCCCTTTCAAAGTAAGAGTTTGTTCTTGGACGCATTCCTGAGGAGAGCTGGTCTATTCTGCATATTTTACTGCTCGGGTCCTTACTATCTGTTTCTTATCGTGTGGAAATAATGAAGGAGCAGTGACTTGCAGAGCACCTCAAACGTCCTGGTGTTTTACATACTTTTAACCTTAACTCCACGGCCATTTGTGAACGCAGGACTGTTCTGAGGGCAGACAGGAGAAGGCATCGTGACCCTGGGCCGACCATGAAAACCAGCTGCATTCGGATGCATAGCGGGGAGCAGAGCGGGGAAGTCAAGGTTGAGAAAAGGACACGCTCTCCCGCGTGGACGTCCTCGGAGAGCTTACCCACGCGGAGCGCTGCGGGGCAGGGTGTAGACGTAGCTGTGCCCCTCCTTCGCAGGAACGTGCCGTCTCAAAGATACTGCTGGAGACCAAGTCCTGGTCGATATTGTCTTTGTCTCTGAACACCAGCCTCAGAGATGACATATACCCCCTGAGCTGCCAGTTTCACGTAGTTTAAAAATTCTTTTCCACTGCATGGGCATAATTTAATTTAAGATGGTGATTTAGACTCATTAAATACCACTCTTTGCCAAGTTCCGTCCTCAGCACTAAGGGAAAAAGAAAGGTGAAACCAAAGTGTGAGAGGTGCCCTGTGATCACTGAAGTACCCATGTTAGATGCTTCTGCCAAGATGCCCTTTGTACTAAAACACGTGGTCAATCCAAAAAGAAAATCTGGGATTTCACATAGAAACACACTTGCACATAAGAGAAAGTATTAATGAATAAGTAAGTACGATATATAAATTTGCATTTGTTCAGAATATGAATTGATTATAACCATAACACTGACTGCCATCATACCTAATTAACAGATAGGTGTTAATACTTTTAAAACATTCGCATTGGTCCACATATTTTCCATCAGTAGGAACTTCTATTACTTTGCCAGCATCAGTACTGAGTAAAATACTGAGATAATTAAGGTTTTCATTTGTATTAGGTGAACTAACACTTTGAGAAAAGACTTCGGAGTGATAGCTACAGGCCTCCGCAAACAATGAACACATTCCTTCGCATGGAAATGTTAAACAACAACGAACTGTTGTTCAAAATTGATGTTTGTCTGCTGGGTGGGAATCACTTTTCAAACTCTATATCCCCAAAGTCGCACTTAGAGTGCTACAGACGCTAAAGAGTTCAGCCATACTAAGTCAGCATAAACTCTGAGGATAGAAAAGGGATTATTTGAAAGCAAATCCCCTTGAGAAGTGAAAACGTTTAGATCAAACGTCGAGATATATTTTAATGGCATTTAAAAAAAATCTCATTGCACTTAAGTGCAGGAAAATGCTAGACGCTTTGAGATTACATGAGCCGACCACTTCAACTTTATAGGTCCTTCGTGGTTTATGTTCCCTTTGTAACTTAATTCAGATCACTTCGACTAGTCCTTATACCACAGAACACATTATAAACCGGGTGGAAGAGTCACTGCGTGGTCTGTCTGTAGCCGAAGTACCTTACCTCGCAGATAGCCGCATGTCAATCCCTCATCCCCTGAGCGGCCCATATGCTGCCGTGGATCACAGCAGAACCAGGTGACCTCCAGTGGCCTCACGAATGCATTTTTCTTAGCCCTCGGACTATTTGAAATATTGGAATTAGTTGCCGGTATTTAAAAATTAGGACGATTGAGTTGAAGGTTTCCATTTCCAGCCTTCTTTGGAAACACAGATTGTCTGGCAGTCTCGCGTGACAGCGGGCAGCAGACCTCGGAAGCCAGACGTCAACGCCCAACGCCTACCACGGCGGGCAGCATCGCTGTCTTACACAGTCCCCACCACGCCCGCCTGTGCGTCTGCTCTTCCCCGCTCACTGCCCATCGCATCTCTTCACACGGGGCCTCTCCTCTTCTCCTCTGTGTCTCCTGCCTGGCCTCTGTAGGCGAGCACATCTGCAAGGCATCCTAATGCCGATGCTTCAGTCTCCCACCTGACCCTGTCTCTCCCCCTCCTCTGCAACCCGGCCTCTGCAGTTGGCACCCGACACATCGCCTGTGTCATCCCGTCTCAGAATCCGTTCCCTCCCCTGTAACCCTCACACCCTTCGGGTAAATGTCCTCTCGTTTTCTGGTTATGACCAGGTTTCTCCAAAGCGGAGTGAGACTCTTTTCCTTAATCTCATTCACTCTTAAATTTCTGTAATCTGTCTAATTAGTCTCCCCAAGTGGGCTGTGCACCGTTTTAGGACAAGATTTATGCCCGATTCATCTTTATAATACTCCACTTTGCCATGGAAAGTGGCACTCAGGAAATATTTGATGAATCAACAATAGGAGTGGAACTGAGTTATCAATAAGAATAAAGCGAGCAAAGCCGTGTTAGAGGACAAGTAGGGGGCTTATCCTTAGCTTCATGGGAACTTCCTTGACCTCATGTCTTCCGGCTCTGCTTCAAGAACAATGATGGCTACCAACGCAGAACCAGAGGCAAGTCCTTGCTGGGACGGAATGGCAGTAAAGTGAGCTTTCAACGTCGTGCTGCGGCATGTCCCTGAGCCGCTCCTCGGGCAGGCACCAAACCAGGCACAGGTCTACGGCCTCCATTTCAACCGCAGCGACGTCCTCCAGGAAGATGAACCAGCAGTTCTGTGTGGCTGCTCTGGGGTTGCTGCAGGAGGGTTCGAATACGCCATTCACTCGTGGGCACTCTGCACTCTTAGTAACCCTCGGGAGAAGCATAGTTGTGAGCTTTTCCAGCTGCCACTGCCTCGTGCTTGCTCCCTAACACATATCGTAAGAGACATGCACATACAAGAGGCAGAAAACGACAGGCAGATGGTGAGAGACCCACAGTAAAGCCATGCATTTGTGGTAAATGTGGGCTAAGACCGTGCGGTGACGTGTCCAGCTATTGGGTGTATTTACCAGCTGGTCCGTACTCCGGGGCATGCTCCGCGTCGTTTCTGCAGGTACGCCTGGTCCGTACGCCTGGTCACGAGTTTTGTCACGTCCTTGTATGAAATGATGGCTGGGTTTCTTTTCTAAAGTCTTTTCTTTGTCTTCTTACTCTGCAGCACGCTCAACAATAACAACATTACCAGGCTGTCTGTGGCAAGTTTCAATCATATGCCTAAACTTCGGACTTTGTAAGTAGTCACCACGTGCATACAAAGGTCAACTTCCTCCATTAACGGGCCCCTTCAGTGCTAGTTTAGTAAGCAAGACAAGGACCGCTGGATCATTATGGGATGGACCCGAACACACCCCTTAAAAACCAATTCCAGACATGCCATTTCACTAATCAGCCATGATTCTGGAAGACTTGAAAGTGTTTTCTACATGGCGTGTGTTATGGAAAGTTTGGAGGAGAAAAAAACGAGTGCTTGCTTTGAGCTATTGTGGAAGGTCACATTTCATTAGGAAATGGAAGACTCCTTGATTGGCTGTCAGAAATGATAAATGGGAAATCTTTATGATTTTATCACTGTACTGCAAGCAGACCTAATAAAGCTAAACTGGCCCTCCAACGTTCTTTGTGATGTGAAATTACCACATCACCCTCTAGTGCTTCCATAATTAAGGTGTGTCAGCGTTTATATTTAAAAACATCTTTTTAAGGGTTACAAGGAGACACTGAAGCTATTTTATTTTTGGTGAATAAAAATGGTTCTCTAATGAAGTATCGACTACAGCTATTTTTCCTCCTCTCTCTTGAAGAAAAGATCATTCTTAAAACCCAGGAGGGTGGTATTTACCTGTAACATTTTCAGAGGTAACTCTCACTTAAACTGGTTTCTGAATCACAAGGGCCTAAAAAATGATTACATGTAGCATGTCAAAAATGGTGGGCAACCAAAGAAAAGCATAAGACTTCTGAAAGGAAAATACGTTTTAAGTAGGGTAGATAATTCTCGACTGGCTTTTCAAACGATTTCCCACATTATAATAGCTTATACCTAGAAGAATATTGCATTTATTTTCTCTCCTTAATAAAATAATTGATATACCTGTGTTCTAAAATAAGTGAGGTGATACCGATCTCAAAGTTATTTTGTTTTTCCTAATAAAAATCTACTGTGTATGTCCTAAGACATCATTAGAGCTTTAGAATATGATTTAGCAAAACAAAGCTACTCTAGAGGTATACAGACAGAGCTATATTTTGTTTTCCGGAGACTAACAAATTGGGACTAATCTGATTGAATTAACACCCCAGTTCATTGCAATATATTAGAAAATGTTAATTTATCATTAACATTAGCTAATTTTTATTTTCTCTTATTTAAATTTTTTATCACTAGAGGGTGTGTACACTCACCAGGGATAGTGAGCGAGAGAGAGCAAGAGAGAGCAAGTGAGAGAGAGAGAGAGCGAGAGAGAGAGAGCGAGCTAGAGAAAGTGAGCAAGAGCAAGAGAGCCCCTTCAATGGTATACTGTCATGTCGCTTCTGCCTCCTCTGTTTCTCATCCCATCAGGGCTTGGGGCATGCACACACACCCAGCGTGTTTTACAAGGCTCCAGGGCTGGGATTCAAACCATAGTTAACTATGTAGGATCCAGCTCCCTATGCACAGGGCTTTACCACTGTGCTGCATGCCCAGTCCTGGCTAATTAAAAAAAATAATAGTAAATTGGCACTAGCAGATGGAATAATTGTTACATCACCAGACTCTCAGTGGCAACCACAGTTCGAGTCCCAGACCTAGTGACTTAAACTGGGCGCTTGTGCGTGCATGCCCAAAATCCTGAGAGGAGAATGGAGGAGAGGGGATTGTGGCATGGCCATCCTCCCCAAGGAGTGATTTCTCACTTTCTGTCTCTCTGTCTGTCTCTGTCTCTCCAGCTAGTTCACATGCCCTATAGAAAACATCTCTCTAAAAAAAAAAAAAAGAAAGAAATCGATCAAGCTTTCAGTCTTTGTAAAACTAAAGTCACTGAAACTGTAAAAGCCCACATCATGTGCATTTGTATGTTTTCTCTTATTTTCTTATAAAAATCTACTAGTTTGTCTTACTTAGTTTTAAAAATTTTGTGTGCCTTTCTCATTTCAAATTTGTGCACATCTAATTGAGTTATTGTCATGAGTTAGGTTGGGACAGGGATCTTTAGGGAACAGTGACATGGAGTATGAGTATGCCTTTGGAGCTTCCGTGGGTGTCACTCCAGTGCCACGTGAACCTTGCAAGTGACCCGGCTTCCTCAAAATGTAGCTCTCTGTCCTGGGGTATGCCTTCTTCATGTCAGTGCAAGATAATCTGCTCCGCATCCCAGGCTCAAGGAGAACATTTCCAACTTGAAATTCCCTTGCTTTGGCAGGTCCTTATTCCGTAGCATCACTGCTGCTTAAAAATTCCATTTTTATAGTCCAATTATCATTCTGGACTGAGTTCCCTGTTCTAATACCCATTACTGTGATTGGGTTAGAATTGAGTCCATCAGCTAAAAAGGACTGAAATGGCATTACTGTGTCAGAGAGGACTCTGGGAATGCTGCCGTGATTTATAGCTTGAGATACCCTGTTCTGTAGTCTGAGAAAACATAAAGGCCCGCTTGAAGTCATTTCCCTAATTCAGGGGATACATTCGTCTGATACTTTACTAATGGCGAAGTGCTGTTTGCCATTTGGAAACAGCCCATGGTCTTGGGTGGACCCTGCCAACGTGGGGGGGACCCCCTGCATTCCTCCCTAGCCAGCACTTATGCCTTTTAATTTCAGTCCCTGCTCTTTGAGACCAGGCCCCTGAGAGTCAAGAGCAGCTAATCCCCTTTCTGTGATTAAACACAAAAGAAATCAGAATAGGGATGTGAAAAAAAGCACTTTATATTAAATTATTATTCTGCGTTATTCAGCAAAAATGGAAGTGACCTGCTACAGAGATTTAGCCAGCAGTTTCTGTAGAGACGATTAATGGCAGGATGGAGTATCTCAAACCGGGAGCCACGATGTTTATTAACTTGTTCCCTCCCGGCTCTGCCCCTGCCCGGCCCTGTCAGTTCTTGGCATGTTGGTGTTGCCAAGCAGTTCGCTTCAGATTTAGTTTTCTCCCTTTACCTTTTTTTTTTCTAAACAATAAATCATTCTCAAAATGTCAATATACAAAGACTGAACTTTTTTTTTTTTTATTATTATTATAAATTTTTTTTTCTTTTCTCATCCCAACACACATATGAATTTTCCATCCAAAATACACTGTGCATTGGCTCAATCAAGCACATCAACATATATGTTCTCAGCAAATGATTTCCCAATTTTTGTGTCCTGCATACCTTGCCTTTTGTTTTGCCATCCTAGGTTCCCCATCCCCACCCTCTGCCATGTCCCATCTTCCTCCTCCATTGTCCCTGACATTCATGATTGCCCTCAATGCCTTCCGCCCCCCCCATTCAATTGTTCTACCAATGAACTCAATTAGTCTAAGTATATCCACTAGCTAGCACAGCTGACATATCCTTACACATGTATCCAAATCTGATCCTAGGCATAAACCCCAGGGAGTAGAATGCACATACTATAAAGTAGTCCCCAGTTGTGTCCATACACCTCTCTTCAGTCATCAAATGTGCATTTTTTTTTCCTCCTGCTTATTATTATTTTTTTTTATTAAATTATATTGCCTAACACTCATTCCCTGAGTATCATCACAACACACCAAGTGTAGTTTCCCATCTAGGATAAACTGCATAGTGTCTCAATCAAGCATGTCGTCACCAATACTGTTCCATTTCTACTTTCATACATATAAATATGTTTTTTATCCTATGTTTGACCCTCAGCCCTTTCCCCCTCTCCCAATTACTCTATCTCTGCTATAGACAGCTATCCTCCAGAGGGGTCATTGAAAATGCGATACCTGCGAGTAGAGGGAGAGGGGCCAGGAGTCCAAAGTTTTTAACAATAGGGAAAATAGATTCCATTCAAGGTTGGATCAAGTGTGGGTCTCGTGCAGTTCCGCAACTGTAGGTGAGTCTCCATGGAATACAGTCTCCGGAAGGCAGTTCTGGCAAGCAGAGTTGACCATCAGTTGATGCGGCACAGCAGCCATCTTGTGGTTAGCAGGA